CTTTTACGTACTCTGTGTTACTTCGTGAAAACAAAATTTGCAATACGCGCACGAAGTGTGATGGGTTTACATATAATACAAGTATAATTATATTGGAAAGATACATTTTTTTGTATTTATCACTTAGGATAATAAGTAAATTGTGAATACAATGTTTTGGTGTAGGCTGAATGTAGTATTATAAACGTGAATAGTAAATCAATCTCCATGATCAACATCCTCATCATCAACGGCATCGTCATCTCTATAATAATAATAATAATAATATAATAATTAATAATAAAATTATTTGTGTCTTCTCAGCAAAATAAATGGCTTTCGATTTCATAAAACATGTATCTATGAGGACCCAAATAGCAACATACCAAAAAATAGACAGACATGTATATCATTTCTTGTATTTAATATTAAATTTATAATACAAATCTGAAAGTCCATGTTTTTGAAATTTAAATTTTAAAAACAATTATGAAAACGCTAAATCCATTTATCAATATAAGACAATTTAATTTTATTTAGAATTATTGCTGCGAAGCAGCCAATTCATATTCTTGACAGCAATTTGACCTCTGAAAGGTCATTGTTTGTCAAAAAAACGACTGCCGAAGACGACTGAAAAGCGAATTTCCTTCTGTCGTTCTGCCGGGTAAAATCAATTACTTTAGGCGACGTTTGTAGACTAACCAACTCGTACCAACGTCCGCATGTCGCGCTAGCCTTATCCTACTCTAGGCCTAGACTAGCTAGGATGGTATAGGCCTAGCCTTGAAGACGAAGGACCCAATGAAAAACAACGTCGCTCTTTGATAGCTAACATTGTCTATTTAACATCACAATAATTCATTATTATTAGACCTATAGTTGTTTTTTGAATTGTACTCCACAAACCTCAGCCGATACCTCGCACAACTGGCTAACGTCTCTATCTATTGTCGTGACGTCATGGCTCGCTGGCTCACACTTGTGATTATGTCTCGCACTTGTGATCAAATAACACGCTGGCTCGCACTTTGGCAACACTCTTTGGCAGTCAACTCTCCCCTAGAAAACCCGCCCTTGGAAACTTGCCCCTTAAAAAATGTACACTTCCTAGACCATGCAGTCTTCAAAATAAAAATTGTAACCTTTGGTAATCAACTACATTTTCCACATACATAGGAATTTTTGAAACTTTATTCAAAAAAAACCTAAACCATAATTCACCCCACTAGACACTTTTTGACAAAAATGAAAAATTACGACTTTGTTACCCAATGAGAAGTGTTCTAATATAGACAATGGGTCGTGTCTCATATTATTTGTTATAGTTTTTTTTTTCATTATTTTCACTTGACTCGCATAAATAATTTTGTTCGAAGAACATTTATATGCAGTTGTACTTCGCAGCACTTCACTTGCAATTTGCAATTTCTAGTCATAAATAAATATTAAGGGTAATTTAATCTATATTGAATTATACTTTCAAAACCTTTACAAAACAATAGGAAAATATCCATTTCATCAATAATTATAATAATTTAATTATTATAGAACATTTCATAATTCATTTCCACATTATAGGTTAACCATTAAAATATAGTTAAATATTGGTGTGTTTTTTTTTCTGATTTCTAGAATCAATGTTTATATTATTCATTAGGGTAACTATAATATATATAAAATGGAATTTATTACATACAACTTCCTGTAATTAAAGATTGGGCTAAGGAACAGTAGAACCCCTCATTTAGGACAGCCCTATTCAGGGTACACACCTATTACGGGGACAGGGACACTTCCTGAGTGAGCCAAATGGTCAAATAAATCCTATTAAGGGGACACTTATTTTTTCTTTCTCAAAAAAAGAAAGTCATTAAACTTTATAAATCAAGTCTCATGACAGTGTTATAACGACTATCTTAATCTAAATATTGTAGACACCTTTTGAGCAATAAACCAGAATTTTCTCCCCTGAACCTTAGTTTGAATATCAGTATAGGTCTACTGCTTGTGTTAATTTGTATAAACCAATCTTGTCTATTTTGACCCTTAACCATGGGGAAACATGGCAAAAACCCCCAATTAATGGGACACTTTTTAGGTCCAAAATGTGTTTCCTTAATAAGAGTTCTACTGTATTCTAATTGATTTGAGAACAACTTAAATTTTGGTCAGCAAATACAATATTTTCTTGAACAATACTACATTTGTTAAAAACATTGTCTTAATTATAAACAGTTCATTTTCATTAACACATTAGTGTATTTTATAAGAAAATTCACAGCAAGAATCTTGTACTATAAAGACAAACTATTTTTAAAAAACATCATTTTTAGAATCAGACAAAAACAGTAAGCGACTCTTAGACTACAGAAACACAACAGCTAAAATGATTTGGTTACATCATTGGAACACCAAACTTGAATGAATCATCAAAACTTTGCTTTATTATTATTATCATTATCATTAATACGCAATTATAATAGTTGTATATAATACACTAGTGGAAATTTATACGAAGGTTAGATTAATGCAAGAAAAAATTCTGAGGGCCTGCAAGCCCTTAAGGATTTTTTTAA